GAGCAGACAGGAATGTTCTTCGTGTTCTGGTTCCACAGACCTGCAGGACTTTGTGTTGCTGAGGAACATGAACCTCAGTGAAGGAACATGAGACGGAGCAGAATCACCCAGAAGTTTCTCTGTGTTCTGAGGGTTAGTAATTGTTCTGTTAGAGGGGAGGACTGTTTATCTCTGAGCACTTAAACTCTCAGTGATCATCTGCTGACTCCAGCAGAGCAGAAACATCTCAACTGCTTCTGTTCTTCACAGTTTAATCTTCTTCTGGAAATCACTGCAGACGGAGCAGCAGCTCTGGAGGCTTTTAGACCCGATGACCTGCTGCAGAAGTCTGGCTGAGCTGATGGAGCTGATGTGAACTCTTCTCATGACTATAAAGACGCCGACAGCGTCAGACGGCTGACCGCCGCTGAAGGTTCAGCTTCACGGTGAACATCATAAGCGTGTTCTATGAGACAGACGTCTTGTCCAGGACACGGACAACGAGAACAGTTTAACGGTGAGCGAGAGACGACTGGTGCTAATGAAAGGCTGCACAGCGATAAGACGACATGTAAACAGTGCTTCAGGTTCTGATCCGTTCACAGTGCTCATACATGAGACATTACCAGGCGAGGAGACTTCACACCAACTTACTTATCGATGAGGTTCTTGGCGATGTTGAGCTGCCCCAGCGCCAGCTTGTAATGGTCTTTGTCGTACAGAACGTTCATCAGGTCGGCGTAGAACGGATGGATGTCCTGAGGAGACACAACCACAGCTCACCACCTGACGCCACACGCACAGCAAAAGTGTTGAGCGGCGACTTACGTCCAGTTTGGGGAAGTCGGTGAGGATCTGCGTGAGCCGGTCGTGGTAGTTCTGCTGCGTGAACTTCACCTTCCGCATGTAGAAGTGTCGGATACGGTGGATCTGGTAATGCTTGTGAATCACTGTGGGAGTTTTCCTTTGTGTTTTGGATAAAGTGATGTCGATGAAATCCTGCAGATCGAAACAGGAAGCAGGTCAGACAGCCGCTAACCGGTTCATCCTCATCAAAGTGATTCATTCAGAACTAGAAGGTCATCAGTGTCAGATCTAAATTTACAGCAATTCAACCAGCTAATGAAACATGTGATGTACCGGTTCTGATCCAGCAAGGTTGATAAACTCCTGCTGCTTCTGGGACACCTGCCTGATGCCAGCCCACGCTGAACTGTGTCATAGACTTAAAACACAAATCACAGTTATAGATTTTACCCCAAATCGTTGCGCCCTGTTTGGATCCCACATAGGTTTGATTAAGCCTAAATTAAAGGCTTCTAGTTTTGGATTCAACTCTATTCAATTATTTAGAAAGTCGACATTTTCCGTCTTTTGTATGAATAAACACTGCAACGAACTGCCACGAACATTTATTCATAAAAACATGTTTCCTGTGATCCAATCCAGAATAATCTGAATTCAAATGTTATATTTCAACCAAACTACATTGAAAAATTATCGGTTTAAGGTTTAGTTGCTTTTTGACAGACGCAGACACTTTAGAAAACAGTCTTGTGTTACTTTCCCAGACTGTCTCTGTGTTTCTAAGAGTTCGGCGCAGAAACCGAGCCAGCAGCTGGTTCTGACTGTTCAGGTTAACGAACTCTGTTGGAAAAACCGCATTAAAGCGAGCGGACCGAACGGCGCTTCCTAAACTCGGTTCCTGAACGGACTTCTGAACGTGAGCAGGCGGTCTTGGGGCTGATCTAACGCTGTTTTCTCTCCGTGTTTGTCCGGGACCTGCCGCTCCGCTCGGCAGCTACACGTGTTTCCTCCATGTTGGTTCTTCTTCTACCTTCGACCGTCTCTCAGCGCCGGAACCGAGCCGCTCCGCCGCCGGCCGTTTAAAGCCCGGACCCGGCCGGAGAAACTGACCTTAGCGGTGGGAACCACCATGATCTTCTTGAAGTTGTACAGAGCCATGATGTCGGACACGTTGCTGCCCGCTGAGGGTCCGAGAGAAGAGCTCCGGTGTTCCGCTGCGAACGGAAGAGACCCGGAGGGCGGCGACGGACGCTGTCTGTGAGCGGCGCCCCCTGGTGGCCGGAGACCGAAGCGCGCGCACACACACACACACACACACTCTGTAACACACACACACACAGTAACACACACACACTAACACACACACACACACTGAGTCTGTGGCTGTCACATTAATTCCATTTAAGTTAAACTAGCGTGTTTTTTTCTCGCCATCTCGTCTCTTTCACATCTTAAACGTTGCAGTTTGTCGTGTGTTCTGTCGACTTCCTCCCTGACGACAGAAAACCTGCCAGAAAAACACACAAAACTGCCTCCATCTTTCTCATAGGGGCAAAGAAAAAGAAAACAACGCAGTGCATTCTGGGAACTGTATGCCAACGGGCTGAAGCTGTTCAATGACTTGCTGAGTCCACAGATAAGATAAAGATAAAGATAAAGATAACTTTATTGATCCCACAGTGGGGAAAGTTCACTGTTACAACAGCTCCAAAAAAAGTGTTCAGTCAGTGCAAGAATAACTGGGAACACCCAGCGCAAATTTTAGGAAAGAAACAGAAAACAGAAAACACACAGTGCAAAAATTGCAAGAGAAAAAAACATTATATACAGAAGATGTTTTTTTTCTTCTTCTTTTTTTTAAAGAAGACTATATACACAAAGATGAGGTAGTCATGGTAAATGGTAACAAGAACCTCTGTCTGATTGAGCAGAATCCTAACCTTCATATTTAAACCACATCGTAGTATCATGTCGTAGCGTTTTGACCTCAATATCTAATCAGAAGGTTGAAGTTGTAATATAAATTGTAAGTTGTAATATGATTGTGGAATAAAAAAACAGCTTAATTACCTTTATTCGTATAATAATAATAATAATAATAATAATAATAACAATAATAATCATAAAATGTTCCCAGGAAACTGCACATAGAGAAAAAACATCAACACCCAATCTGAGATGATAAATATTTTATACATTTAAAAACTCAACATGTCATTTAAATGTTAGTTCGTGTACAGGACTCTGTGTAAGGTCAGTGTTTGTGTCTGTGGGAGGATCTGTGTCGTCCCACTGATGTGTGCGTCCTGTTATTTTTACACAGAGAAGACTTTTTATGTGCAGGTTCTGATTCATTTCTGTGTATTTTCAGTTTGTGTGGTTTTTTTTTTAACTGATGTTTTCCACTTTATCTTATCTAATCACCTTTTGTTAATTAAACAGAAAAAGCTTGCTGATAAAAATAGAACAACACTAAAGTTTTGAGGAGATTTCTCCACATGATGTCGGGTTCACTTTCATTACAGCTTTATTTGCATGATGTACATTTTGATTTTAAATGCTGATAATTTTCCTCCCTGTGTTTTTAGTGTTTAATCATTTTCTAAAAATATAATTTATTACTGTAGTTTTAATACTTTTATATTTTCTGTGTGTTTATTGACGTTTGACTGTCAGGAAGCAAAAAAAAAAATCATATTTGTTGTGATGAAGAAGCAGCCAATCAGCAGGTGCCAGTGCCCTCCAGGCCCCGCCCACTCCCTCTGATCACGAGTGGGTCCGCGTGCGCCCACTGCCTGCTCGGACCAATCAGGAGAGGGCGAGGGTGGAGGGGCGGGGCCTGGAGCTGAGTGTGACAGCTGCGGTTCAGTGCTGCACCACAGAGAGCGGGAACGCGCAGAGGTCTCACTCCGCTCTGATGGCTGATTCCACACGCTCCAGATGAGACAAAACAATGCTTTAATATTCCCACAGTGGGAATGTTTACAGCAGCAACGAGGAGAGAGGATAAACAGGGAGCACTGGTACAAAAAAACCGACAAATAAACATAGTACATACAAAGAACTGTTGATATCAAACAAACAACCAGATCGCACAAAGTTCCTCTGAATGGAGGAAAGTATTCGTATTGTCTGGATGAGTAGAAAGTACATTTAAAATTAATGCTTTTTATTTAACATTTTACCTGTATTATAGATAGTACAGATAATATTGATTAAAAACAGAAAAAGTATTCATTCATGTGTGAACCTTTAAAAAGTCCAAAACTATATAAAATCATGTCCACATCAAAAATCAGTATTCATACATATTATAAGTTATGATACTGAAATCAGCAAAAACATTACTTTACAGATTTTTGCTTTGTTTGAAAGAAAAGTTCGGCATATTAAGGACTGACAGTCGGATTATTAACTGTTTTGTTAATTTACATATAATATGATGAAATCACAGAAAAATGTTTAGTTTACCAATTAACCTAAAAAAAAAAAAAAGGCCAATAGCTGCAGATAATGTTCACATGAACAATCTGTGTTTCTACAAATGATCACTCATTCACTCATCAACACGTTGGTATTTACAGGTGAGCAGGAGGGCCTCTCCTCAGAATGATGGGATTTTGGGGTCAATCAGAGCAAAAATAGTTCTGCTAGAGGTCAGAGGTCACCTTTTCTAACATGCTGGAGACCTTCAAAGGGTGGAAGATGGATTCATGGTGTTTGATGAGCAGCCACGTTGGGCCTTCTGCTGGTGACGTGTTCATTCACTCAGACAGATAACAAACAGTACAAGTGCATTAAAGTTATTTAAATCAATCCGGTGCATCTGTTTGACAGCTGAACATCTCTGCCATGTGTTAGGAAATAATCCTTCATGTCTGCCTCCAGTCTGTTCCTCAGTGTCGCTCAGTGTAACCCCAACCCTGTTCAAATGTGGAGTTATGCTGCGTTCACACCAGACACGAGTAAAATCATTCACGTGAATGGTCTACATGTAAAGTCAATGTGAAGACGAATAGCACGGTGTGAATGACACAATTCTCATCGCATTAAACGCGCGAATGACTGGAATCTGCGTTTCTGAGCTTTATTATTTTGTTGATGGCCAATCAGCGCTGAGATTCTCTGATGACATCAAGAACACGATTCATTTATGTTTTTGCAACTACACCATGACTCCTGATTGATTCACTCACCCCAGGAGATAACCAGTCACATCACTGACCAAGGCAGAGCTCAGAGCTCAGCAGACGGGCTGTCCCTCTCCTCCAGTCCACACAACACAATGACACCTCTACAATTTAGTCAACTAGCGAGCCGAGTTGCTAGCTATCGCAATGCTAGCGGGATAAACCTCCGCTGGCTCCTCGTCGCTGTGGTCAGCGTACTCCTTATTGTTGTATGTGGCACCGAGTTGGTATCCTGGAGGGATATCCTGGTACCGATCCTCCCCAACAGGTCGTCAAACTGGGTCTGGGTCTGTCAAAAGTAGCGCTGGAAGCGGCTGGAAGCGGCCGTCATCCAGGCGCTGGTCCTGGAGAAGGTGGAGGAACTCCCCGAGCTGTGTGCATGTCTGGAGAATCCGACTGACCCGGACACGGCGGCGTCTGGATTCGCATCATTCGCGCAAATCCAGACACAAATCTCACCACGTTAAACGCGCGAATGACGCAAGTACACTACGCGCGAATTGGACAATGAATTCACGTCTGGCGTGAACACAGCATTAGAGGGTAAATGTAGAGTTAGAAGGTCGGATGTTCTGAGGGTAAAACCTGTATTATCTACATCCATCCATCATCAGGGTCGTGGGGGGCGGAGCCTATCCCAGCTGACTGAGGGTGAAGGCAGGTGTTAACCTCCGTCGCCTCGCAGCCCTATTCTCTACATGATGTCAGTAAATGTATCGTAACCAGCTGTAGTACCTGGTTGTTCCACCAGGTGGAGCCTCTCACTGCTTAACCCTGTAGAGACCAGAGAGGCGTCACTCAGACTACAGCTCATGGTGGCAGCAGAGAGCATTGTGGGAGTTCAGCAGCAACAGGACCATGACAGAGACTCTGAGGAGGTTCAGGACCTCCAAGCAGAACTCAGGAGTTTCAGATGAACTTAGACCAACCAGGACAGTTGGTATGTAACAGAACCAATCCGTTAGTGATGTGGTGTAATCAGTAACGGAGTCATGATGCTAGTTAATTCTGATTTAGAAATAAATATTGATTTACATCCTTAACATTCTCCCCTACCTCGTGGTTGCATTGTGGTAAATTATTATGACTTGTGACTGATTTTTACTCATAAGGCAACTTTTATTTCTGCATATATTCATCTCAGGTGATTCGGCTGATCACAGATACTGGAGCTTTTCTGCAGTCAGGTCAGAATGTTTTATTCCAGGGCCAAAGTCCCAAATGTGCACCAAGCAAATTACAAGTTTATAGAATGCTGTAGATTTTTAATATTGTTTTACTTAGTCTGTACATTTGTATTTTAGATATTTTTTTGTTTTGACAGTACAATTTAAATGACTCAGGTAAGTTTATTTGATAATAAATACGGTTTTAACATCCATAGTTAAATAAGTACATTTGAATTTCATAGAATATTGTCTGATCTTAACCCTAATATTTAAATCAGTCTATATGTATATATATATATATATATATATATATATATATATATATGTATTATTGTGGGTTCTAACCTGAATATTTAAATTAGTCACATAAATTTGTGTTTTATCATTTTTTTATTCGGGTAAATTCACAGAATAAATATCTGTGCAGATTCAGCTGAAGGTTTAAAGCCGTCAGTTGACTCATGTAACACCAGTTTTATTTCTCCGTTGGGTCTGTAGTTCCACACGAGCTTAAAGGACAGGGACGGAGGCGGTGAACGGGTCCAGCAGGGCGCCTCGCTGCCCTCCCAGAGTGAGCCATCCCGGACCCTAGACGATCTTCGTGCTGCACTCGAAAGGGAAAGGAAACGCCGACTTCTCCATTCCGAAATCCCCTCAGTCTCTCATCTTTAGCAGCAGTGTTTCATCGATCGGAAGCTTAGAGGCGTCCGCTGCTCGGTCCCAGGGTTTCTCGGTCGCTCTCTGGCTCCCCGCTGCCGCACAGCCCGCTGTCCACCGGGAGGAACCTGCTTCGCGTGTGAATCCAGGCACCAGATTTATCAAACCCGACTGCACAAAGTTGATAGCAAGCTAGCTAGCTAGCCACCTAGCTAACTCGTAGCTAGCTC